GCATAGCCAGACTGGCAGGCGGACGCTGCGGTCCTCAGAACCTGGAACGTCTTACCATGGACAACTGCCCTCTTCTCACAGACTCTGCGCTCGATCTGCTGGGCAATTCCTGCCGTCGTCTGCGCCAGCTAGACCTCTACGACTGTCAACTCATCACAAAGTCTGGCATTCAGAATCTACAGGTATGTGTGCGTGTTTCCGATGCAGTTATAGGGGAGGGATGGGGGTTAACAGAAGCAATCCCCTAGCTCACCAGTCAAAGAAGAGGTCAGGATTTTTGAAGTGGCTATTTTGATTCTTAGAATTCGACGTACCACGGAATTGTTTGGTTCGTTTGCGCATTTTTGTGATGAAGTTGACGGCAACAGTAGGTGACTGTAATAGCCTGAGGGTAGGGCTTCATCGTAGAGCTGCCGGCCATTGGCAACAGTCTTCCAGCCCAAATGTCTTACGGCATTCGTGGTCAAAGTTTTAGTGCTTGATTAGTGCGTGGGTAATAAGTGTTTAATGCATGGTGAGTGCACCGTAGGAAATACATTAAAACTGCGTCTAATTGTTTTGCTGAACAGAAGCGTACGTGAAAAGGTTGCATAAAGGACAAAAAAGACTGAAAGGAAAGCCCATAGAACAAGAAAACTATTAGAATAATTCCTATCCGCTGACATAATCAAGTAGATATTTGGATATGTGGAAGTCCGACCTACTAATAAGTTGAAAGTAGAAATTATTATTAATACCTCCTCGGGCGGATACAGTATGAATCTCTATCAGCTTGAGTTTGGCGTCCACCACATAAGTTGAATGCGTTATTCAATGTGAATCCTGCCGATATAACTTCTACTCTTCTTTTCCTCCTTTCCGCGCTTCCAGCAGTCTCATCCCCTACTGAAGATCCAGGCCTACTTTGCTCCCGGTACTCCACCGGGCTCTGCAGTTGGACGTCATAGACGCTACTGCCGCTGTTGTACCATTTTCTGAGTCAGTACTCTGCAGCAGCAGCACAAACAGCGGTCTCCTGTACCTCTTTCAATGTGCCATCTAAACAGCAGCTTGGAGAAATGTGTTACACACACAGAGAGAGGAGTGGAGGAGTTTGCGGGGTGCCACACCTTGTTAACGAACACCTTGGACCTGATTCCCGCCAAATGCACACATCTCCCCGCCACCCCCTCACTTTGGCCGCTGCCCCTTGTCCCTTGACGTACGCCTCCAGCAGGTTACAAGTCTCACCTTTTCGCTGTCCGAACCTAGCGCCCTTCCGTCTCTTTCTATCTCTCTCCCTGGATGTCTATTAC